TGCCTATCTGGAGGAGGACCTCCTATAGGCACCTGCCCACCCCATAAAATGCTACTTGGAGGTCCTTCTGCGAGAGAACTCCTTGGAGGAGCCTGGGGGGTGGCTCCCCACGCGGGGCCTGCTTGGGGGTGGCACCTGGGTTCCGGAATCCATCCCAGAGCTGGGTATCTGAAGGGGGGCCTCCTACAGGCACCCGCCCACCCCATAAGTCCCTGGTGGGAGGTCCTGCTTCAAGGGAACTCCTCGGAGGAGACCGGGAGGGCGGCTCCCCACGCCGGGGCCCCCTCCGGGGTGGCACATGGGTTATGGAACCCCTTGCCTTGCAGCCCCTCCAAGGCCAGCCTGTACGGGGCGCTGCTTTTCACCCTCCAACAAGCCCGCTGGCTGCCCATCTCCAAGGCCACCCTCATCTTCTTCTTCACCCTCTTCATGGTGGTCTGCAAGGTGAGCATAAATTATGCAAATAGGGGTGAATTCATTAACATATTTCATGATTATGCAAATAGGGTCGAAAGCATTAAAATATTTCACGATTATGCAAATGGGGTCGACATCCTTAAAATATTTCACGATTATGCAAATGGGGTCGACATCCTTAAAATATTTCACGATTATGCAAAGGGGGTCAACATCATTAACATATTTCACGATTTGAAGAATTAAAATCATTATAGTGTATAGCATCCTTCATGCTATAATGCTATATATATAATTACATGTATGCAAATACACTCTATATACATTTGTATATATAATTATATACTATACTGTATCTATATATCTATATACCTTAATGTATAATGATACACTATACTATATACATACACACACACACACACACACACAAAAACATATATATGTACACGCATATATACCTTGGTATACGTCGTTATGTACTATCCTGTATATATGTACACCTTATATACTTTGGTATACGTCGTTATGTACTATCCTGTATATACGCATATATACTTTGGTATATGTCATTATGTACTATCCTGTATATATGCACACCTTATATACTTTGGTATGCATAATTATGTACTATCCTGTATATATACTTTGGTATATGTCATTATTATGTATTATCCTGTATATATATATACTTTATATGCTTTGGTATATCTAATTATGTACTGTCCCGTACGTATGTATACCTTATATACTTTGGTATATATAATTATGCACTGTCCCATATATATGTATAGCTTATAGACTTATAGCTTATAGACACTACAATATGTGTATATATCCACACACGTACGCTCTGTATGCTTTAGTATACGTAATTATACACTATAATATGTATATATAAACACACACATACAAGCTCTATATAGTATATATAACCATATATACTATAGCTGTAGATATTATATGTTTATATATAGCATGCCTACACCTGCCTTTTAATTTTTTTATCGAAATGCAGTATTGAAATAGAGTGTTTTAAGATGTTTTCTTTATTGTTATTTTATTGCACTATAGTAGAATATTTTAAAGTATTCTTTCATGGTTAAAATATATTTGAATCATGAAATATTGTATAATATAATGAAATATAATACAGTATATACAGTATATAATATACAATACAGAATATACAGTATATAAAATATAATATAGTATATACGGAATATAAAATATAATTATATACAGTACATAAAATATAATACAGTATAAAATCATTATTTTTTATGATTAAAATAGAACCATATATTAAAATATAATCAAATATAGTGATCTAGTCAAATACCATCGATCACTATATTTTCCTGATTAGCATATATTTGCATTCAAATGCAGCAGATTCCTGTAGATTTTCCTCATTAACATATATCTGCATTCAAATGCAGCAGATTCCTGTATATTTTCCTCATTAACATTTATTTGCATTCAAATGCAGCAGATTCCTGTATATTTTCCTCATTAACATATATTTGCATTCTAATGCAGCGATTCCTGTATATTTTCCTGATTAATGTATATTTCCATTCAAATACAGTATATATTCTATCATTTTAACTATATTTAAAAGATGTTTTGTTAAAATATCGTATTCGCATATATTGAAAATCATTACTGCATATTTTATTCAAATAAGCTCTTTTATTATTAATCTATGCTAATTTATGTTAATTTATTCGACTCTCTCTGGCATATTTTCCCGGACACCCTCCTCCCTCTCTCTTCCCCCAGGTCTTCATGACGGCCACCCACTCCCACGGCTCGCCCTTCGCCCCCCTCGAGGGCCTGCTCTGCCCCGTGCTCTTCGGCTCGGCCCCCGAGGGGCCCCCCCACGAGCCCCCGCCGCCCCGCGCCGGCGCCCACGAGCCGCCCCCCTCCCCGCCGGCCAAGTTCCGGGAGGACCTCAACGAGGGCACCCGCAAGCGGAAGGCCAAGAAGGCCGAGTGAGCCCCCCCACCCCGGGTCCGGGGGGCCCGGGCCTCTGCCCTCCAGCCAGACCCGAGTGGCGCCTTGCTCCAGCATAACCGGGGGGCACCACTCTCGTGGGCGCCTTCCCCGTGCTCCCGAGAGGACCACAATCCCCAGTGGCGCAGAATCCTCACCCGCCGGGGATGCTGGGCAGGGCGATCCCCCGTCCCCGGGAAAGGACCCCCCACTCCAATCAATGATTGAATGAATTCAATGGAATATCGTATTTATGAAACGTATTTAATGGGTTATTTATTTCCGAGGCGGCGGACCGAACGCCTGTTTATATGCCAGGATTTACTCGAATTGCATAATTTATGCAATTCGCATAAATTATGGAAGATTTGTGAAATATTTATTATTTCATTCAGCCGCATAATAAAAGATTCATGCCTTGATTGGGAAATTTGAAATTTCTGGAAAATTTGAAATCGTGTGGAAGATTTTCGTGAAATTATGTAATTCAATCGACGGATGAAAATCAAATGCAATTTGCATAAATTATGGAAGATTTGCATAATATTTATTGTTTCATTCAGCCGCATAATAAAAGATTCATGCCTTGATTGGGAAATAGATATTTCTGGAAAATTTGAAATCGTGTGGAAGATTTTCGTGAAATTATTTAATTCGATCGACGTATGAAAATAAAATGCAATTTGCATAAATTATGGAAGATTTGCATAATATTTATTCTTTCGCATTATATATTATTTCGCTGCATAATCCGCCTCTGATTCATCCATGGATTAATGAATATTTCTGGAAAGATTTTGTCGTGAAAGTGAATATTCAAGCATATGAAAAGAAAATGTCATTTGCATAAATTATGGAAGATTTGCATATTTAGTATTTTATTAAGCCACATAATATTCATCCATGGATTCGGTAATAAATATTTCCCTATTTCCCAATCCATAAATAACCCTAAAATTAAAATTAAATAGTGATTTGAATTCACATTAAATACAGATGATTTGAAGATTTATTATTTAATTAAGCTGCATAATAAAAGATGTGGATTCACCCATTGATTAATACATAAAATTGGAAGCTTTATGTGAAATTAAAATTCAGATATTCCTATTAACTTGATTTGCATAATAATGCATATTTCATTAAGACGCATGCAGGACTTGATTGATTAAATCAATTCATAGCTATTGATTAATAGCTCAAATATTTCTGGAAATATTTGAAATCGTGTTTTATATTTTATTCCAATTTGATTGGATTGGATTGGATTACATTTTATTCCATTTTATTTACATTGAATTCCAAATTTGATTTGTTCCTAAAAGATTTCTTGAAATGTTTGAAATTCTTAAATATTAATAGAATCTTAAGCCGGAAATTCTTAAATCTGAAAGTTATGCAATCAGAATTAAATATTGCATTGAATTGCATCGCCTCATTACATATTAATGAGGCCACCTAATGTAATATGCAAATTTGGAACAATTTGGCGGATTGATTAATGCCAGCCCTGCAAGGTAGTCCAGTCTCGACCACGTGACCCCCCCCCCCCGTAAAGCGGTTCCCAATCAAGATGGGGGTCTCCTCGCATGCCAACAACCATCATCTGCAGCTGCTGGGGGGCGGGAGTGGCCCCACCGCTCCGGGGGGCGCCCGGTTGGGGAAGAGGAAAGTCTCCGCCGTTCACATTCTCTCCCCCCCCGTTTCAGGCTCCTGCAAATCGTTTGGCCTACAATTCCCGGCATGCTCCGGGCCCCGAGAGTGCCGCTCGTCCCGTGCCGTCCCCGCTTCCTGACGGCCGCTCTAGCCGCTGCCCCCTCTCCCGTCCTCTTATACACTCTATGATCGCATTGGTCCGATGCTATTTCCGTCCGGGCGGCCGCGCCGCCCCTCGCGCGAAGGTTCCTCCCCCGGGCGGGGGGGGGTTGGCGGCCTGCGTGCTCACGCCACACACAGGCCGACTTCCGGTCGTGTGCCCGGTGGGCGCCCGGTTGAGGAAGAGAAAAAAGCCCCCGGCGGTCACATTTTTTCTCCCTCCCCCTTCAGGCGCCTGAAAACAGTTTGGCCTACAAGTCCCGGCATGCTCCGGGCCCCGAGTGCGTTGCTCGTCCTGTCCCCTTCCCCGCGCGGCCGCTCTGGCCGCTCCCTGACGGCCTTTCCTCGCATACACTCTAGGCTCGAGTGGGTCCCTTGCTATTTCCGTCCGGGCGCCCCGCCTCCCCGCGCGCGGAGGTTCCGCCCACCGCCCCCCCGTTTGGGGGGGGAGGCCTGTGCGTGGTGACGCCACGCGCAGAGCGAATTCCGGCCGTGCGTGCGCGCGCCCGCGGCGGACGGGAGGCAGACGGCGGCCGCCGCCTCCGCCGAGGAGCCCAACATGGCGGCGGGGGGAGGAGGAGGAGGAGGAGGAAGCCGAGGGGGCGGGGGGCCCCGCGCGGGGGGGCGTCCGGGGGGCGCCGCCGCCGCGGCCCCCGCCCCGGAGAAGCTCCCGGTGCACGTAAGTGGGGGGGGGGCTCCGCCGAGGCGGGCTGGGGGGGCCCTCCCCCGATCGCGCCCCACTTCCGGCCCCCCACTTCCGGCCCCCCTACGACCCCCCCGTACGGCGGGGGGGGCCCGATCGCGTGCCCGCCACGCCCCATGGGCCTTGGGGGCCCTGCCGCCCCTCCCTCCCTCCCCCCCCCCGCTTTGACGTGGCTCGGCCCGATCGCGCCTCCGCCGCCGCCGCCCGGATCCGGGGGGGAGGCCGAGGGCCCAGCATCCCCAGCAGGACTGTGGGGGAGGGGCAAGTGGGGTGGAGAAGCCAGCATCCCCAGCAGGAGTGTGGTGGGGGGGAGCCTAGAGGGATGGAGGGCCCAGTATCCCCAGCGGGACTGTGTGGGGGCAGCCAAGAGGAACGGAGGGCCCAGCATCCCCTGCAGGACTGTGGAGGGGGGGCGTAGCCAAGAGGCATGGGGTGCCTAGCATCCCCAGCAGGACTGTGGGGGGGGCTAGAGGGATGGAGGGCCCAGCATCCCCAGCAGGGTTGGGGGGTGGGGTTGGCAAGAGACATGGGGTGCCCAGTATCCCCAACAGGACTGAGGGGGCAACCAAACGGGATGGTGGGCCCAGCATCCCCAGCAGGACTGGGGGGGGGGGGCAACCAAGAGGGATGGAGGGCCCAGCATCTCCAGCAGGACTGTGTGGGGGTGCCCTGAGGGATGGAGGACCCAGCATCCCCAGCAGGACTGTGTGAGGCCACCCAAGAGGGATGGAGGGCCCAGCATCCCCAGCAGGACTGTGTGAGGCCAACCAAGAGGGATGGAGGGCCCAGCATCCCCAGCAGGACTGTGGGGGGGAGGGGAGCCAAGAGGGATCGAGGCCCCAGCATCCCCAGCAGGACTGTGTGGGGGGGCAACCAAGAGGGATGGAGGGCCCAGCATCCCCAGCAGGACTGTAGGCGCTCAGCCACGAGGCCCAGAGGGCCCATCATCCCCAGAGGAGGAGCCCGGCCGCCTTCTGGATCGGAGAGACCCAGCGAGGCAGAAGGGGCCAGCGAGGGCATCTAGTCTGACCCCGGCTCCAGCCTGCTCCTCTCAGGACCTACCCCCACGACCATGTGGCTGTGTGCTTGTGGGGTGTGTGGGTCCCACCCCTGGATCAGGATGATGGGATAGTGGAGCTGGACGGGTCCCTGGAGGCCATCAAGTCCAACCCCTGGATCAGGATCATGGGATAGCAGGGCTGGAGGGCCCTGGAGGACATCTAGTCCACCCCCTGGACCAGGATGATGGGATCGTGGAGCTGGAGGGGCCATGGAGGACATCTAGTCCACCCCCTGGATCAGGACCATGGGATACTGGAGCTGGGAGGGGCCCTGGAGGCCATCAAGTCCAACCCCTGGATCAGGATGATGGAATCGTGGAGCTGGAGGGGCTCTGGAGGCCATCTAGTCCAACCCCTGGATCAGGATGATGGGATAGTGGAGCTGGGAGGGGCCCTGGAGGCCATCTAGTCCATCCCTTGGATCAGAATGATGGGATAGTGGAGCTGGAAGGGGTCATGGATGCCATCTAGTCCAACCCCTGGATCAGGATGATGGGATAGTGGAGCTGGAAGGGGCCATGGAGGACGTCTAGTCCAACCCCTGGATCAGGATGATGGAATCGTGGAGCTGGAGGGGCCATGGAGGATATCTAGTCCATCCCCTGGATCAGGATGATGGAATCGTGGAGCTGGAGGGGCCATGGAGGACATCTAGTCCATCCCCTGGATCAGGATGATGGAATAGGGGAGCTGGAAGGGGCCCTGAAGGCCATCAAGTCCAACCCCTGGATCAGGACCATGGGATAGTGGAGCTGGAAGGGGCCCTGGAGGCCATCCAGTCCACCCCCGCAGTTGCAGGACCCCACGTTCCACCACCCCACCCATCTGCCTGCCCAGTTCCTCCCCGAACGTCCCCAGTGTGGGGATCCCCCCCCCGCCCAGGCACATGGGCCCTCGGCCCTCTTGCCCCGACCCTGGGGAGCCTCCTCCTGAACCCGGCTCGTCCCGACCTGATCCCATCATCCCCCTCGCCATTCCTCAATGGGGCAGCCGTGCAGCTCCTCCTGGAGGGACTCCATGTCCCATCTCAGCCTCCTCCCCTCACGGCCCACCCTGCCCAGTCCTCCCAGTCTCTCCCCCCAGGGCGCTTCCCAGTCTCCCCACTGGGCATCGCCTTCCAGGAGGGGGCAGGCTGGCCTTGCACTCTTGGCATGCTCAGAGGACTCCCGGCTTGACACCCTCCTGCTTCCTCTTCTGCTCTGCTGGTGCCTCATTGAGTGCCTCTCCTTGATTCCTCCCTGGCAAATTTGGCCAAAGCCCGGAGGATGGAGCAGGCCCCAACGTCCCACCACAACACCCATGTGGCTGCTCATAGCTATTTATTTTATTTTATTTCATTTTTTTATTTTATTTCATTTTAATTTTTCATTTCATTTCATTTCAATTTTTCATTTCATTTCATTTCATTTTTATTTTTTATTTCATTTCATTTTAATTTAATTTTTTATTTCATTTCATTTTTATTTTATTTCATTTTATTTTTTATTTCATTTTATTTTAATTTTTTATTTCATTTCATTTTATTTCAATTTTTATTTCATTTCATTTTTATTTTATTTTATTTCATTTTATTTTTTATTTCATTTTATTTTAATTTTTTATTTCATTTTATTTCAATTTTTATTTCATTTCATTTTCATTTAATTTTTATTTCATTTCATTTTTAATTTAATTTCATTTCATTATTTTATTTTATTTATTCCAAGCATTTGCACCCCGTCCTCCCGGACGTGCGTTTATTAATTGGTTATTTTAGTATTTCTGGCAGGTATTTATATCCCATTCTCAAGCGCTCAGGGCAGCTTACAAAAGAGAAAAGCACAATATGAAATAGAATATTAAATATAAAATATTCTATTTAATATCAGAAATATTCTATTTAATATCGAAAATATTCTGTTTTAGACTATGTTTTAATATCAAAAATATTTTGTTTTAGAATATGTGTTAATATCGAAAATATTCTGTTTTAGAATATGTTCTGTTTTAGAATATATTGTAGAATATAAAAGCGCAATATAAGATGGAAGAGCGCAATATAAATGCTAAAAATTGTAATTTATAAAAGAACAGCGCAATATAAAATAAAAAAGCACAATATAAAAGTTTAAAGCGC